CATTGTTGTTTTTGTTTTGACTTGTGACCCCTCACTAACAAGCTGTGTGTGGGGCCCCTTGTAACGTCTCAGATCTGTGAGATGTTAGTTAGTAGCATCTAGCACAGAGCCATAAGCTTGTGCCAATAACATTAGCATGTTAAATTTGGAGAATGTGTTTAGTGTAAGTCAGTCTTGTCAGTGAACCTTGTGAGTTGTAATGGAGCTGAATTTGTAATGTTACCTTTGTTAATGTTGCTGTCTGCTAGCTGCTAGGCTAATTTATACAATGTAAAATGCCATAGGCTTGTGCTAAAAACATTAGCATGTTGTATTTGTGGGGAAAATGTGTCCAGATAAAGACAAGTGCTTTGTCTGTGAATGCTGTGAGTTATAGTGAAGCCAATTTGTGTATTTGTGTTTGACACTGTCTCTATTAAGCCACGTTTAATGTGTGTTTTGGGTGTGTTTTGAATTGACTAAACTTTACAGCACCCCCACCACCGACTAGTGTTTTGAAGGTGTAACTGCAGAGTGACACAGATACCACCGCAGAAGTATAAATGCTCACAACATCGAAGGCCACGTGCGTAGCCCACGGGCCTAGGCTACAGTGTAGACTCTGCATAGAGCTGACGCACAAGTATAAATCCTGCTAGAAGTTGCAGAGTTGTACCAAGCATGTAGGAGAACTACGGTGGCTGACGCTAAAACATTCATGGCCCTATCTGGAGCCAGTGTTTGGTTTGTCGGTTCTGGGCTGCTGTAGTGTAACATGGTGTACTTGGTGGAAAAGGACCCGCTCCATATAACCGTCTCTTTCTTAAGTAACAAAAATATGGTTCTTACTTTCAGGTGATTATAAATCAGAAACTGTATAATAAAGATGGACAACATGACGGCTCCCCAAAAGTAAAGCCAAAACATCTCTATCGCCCCCTGGTGGCTGGCTGCAGTATAGGTCACTAACCCCGCCCTCTCCATTTTTATGAATTGGATATGGGCTAAAATAAAAACTCGAAGTACACCTGAAATACATTTTTCCTAAAGATGGTTTCTGTCATTTTAAGTGGTACTTATCACATTGATGTTTGTCCAAGTGTTCATTTTCCTGATAGGTTTGGTTATAAGTAGTTATTTGATCCCATAAAAAGAGGGTGTGATGTTATGATTGACAGCTGTGTGTGTCAGGTGCTTGTGACCAGTGGCACTGCTTGCGATTGATTGAACAGGTGTATAGTTGGGAACTGGATACCCTGAGATAATTACTGTGCATTGCAAATACACTGTGTGTTACCATACTACCATGCTGTATAGTATGCCAGAAAAAGATTTAGTGTGTCCTAATACATAGTATGTCAAATGCAGTATGCCAAAAAAACAGGATGTTCTACTACATCCTGTCGCATTTTGCAGTTTTCTGACCCACAATCCTCTGCACAGCTGAGGATGCGTCACATCGACTGAGCTGCAAACAGATGACAGCTTGTTGACAGCTGTCAGAAGCAACAATGGCCACAACGGATGACACTGCATTCACGTGAATGATGACCAGTCGAAAAAAGTAATAATGGTAATAATAACTGTTTAAATGAACAAAAAAATTACAAAAATTACCGACAACAAAAGGACTATGAAGATAACAACGACAGAGAAATGCATATGTAATTTTACTGGATTGTGAATACAATATGTTAAAATCCACAATGTATGCAGTTATAAATTAAAAGTCTAATCTACATACTTTGCAAAGTAACAACAGCACAGCTCTTTGTGTTGAACTCTGTCTCGGGTGAGCTCAGGAATGGCATTTTGTTTTATCTCCAAGGTAACAGATATAAAAGAAAGAGGGTCAAAGCTCAGGGTGCGAAGTTATGAAGAAGTAGTAAGCTCAGACTGTGTGCATACTGCATCCAACAGTATGTACTTTTTAAGGGCAGCTGCAGTACCATTTAAAAATAAAAAGGAAAGTATACAATTGCATAAAGAGAACCGCATACAGCATTGGAGGCAGAGTACCGTTCATTCCTGTTACGGTTGCTCAGTGGCACATGAAGCCAAAAAGTTTGACTTCCTGGGTATAAAATGACCCGCATCATTGGGCCTACAGAGAAAGCGCACTACAGACTTTCGACGGCTGAGTGGCTAACGTGCGGTTTAGCCCACTGCTAACTTCAGTGGGAATAAAATTATTTAATTGTGCGGCTCCTCTCGACTTTTGAAATGATATCAGGTAGAATGGATCAAATCCTGATGGTGAAACAAGACATTTTGTGGAGGTTGTAAGGCTAAAAAAAATTTATCCATTGATTTACAGACATCTCTTTCACAGTGTAAGTCAATGGGAAAATGTTGCCCCATGGCACCATGCTATGAACCTGGAACAGTGGTGTAAATATAGACAGTGGAGGCAGTGTGGTTGCACTGGGGCCTGTGAGGTGGGGTGCTCATAGAGAGAGTGGGCCCTCCAACAATGTGTTAGAGAATGGGACCCAATGAGTGATTGCCACCTTGAGCATATGCCTGTGTTCAAAAAGGGACTCTCAAATAATAAACATGTATTTTTTGTTATATACAGATAAGCAGTGATGATTGCTGGGTAATATGTATGTTGAGGTTATCAAGTCTCTGATCATGTGACGAGACGATATGCACACCATACTGTGCGCTAAGGCCCGTCGTAACTACCTTACGCCACTGACCTGGAAGTTGTAGTTACATGGTTTGACCACTGTGAAAATTTGCCTCAAAGCCAAGCACACTTCCTGGGAGCCATGTGGAAGAGGACCTGCTCCGTGTGCAGATGAAAAACAGCTCGATCTGTAGTAACAAAAATACAACGATTCTTATTGTCAGGTCATCGTAAACTAATGAAACATAGTTATGAATATATGCAGCTTGTGTCTGTAGATGCCTCTAAAATCTACACACTGGACCTTTAAGTAACTGTTTGAGGCCGAGAGAGGTAAAAAATATTCTTTAAAAAGAATAAATAAATAAATGATTAAGCCCTGCGATAGTCTGGCAACCTGTCCAGGGTGTACCCTGCCTCTCGCCTGATGTCAGCTGGGATAGGCTCCAGTCCCCCGCGACCCTCAAGAGGATGAAGCGGTTAGAAGATGAATGAATGAATGAATGAATGAATGAATGAATAAATGATTAAAGAACAGTGCAATAAACACATTTATTTGTTTATTTAACCTTATTTAACCAGGAAGTCCCATTGAGATGGAAAATCGCTTTCACAAGAGAGACCTTGCCAAGGTAGTAGCCGATTAAAACACATTTAAAGTGCAACAAATACAACATATAATACAAAAATCCACAATAAAACAACAACTATTCAAACATGGTGGCCTCTCAAGAAAAACATGCGCATGTCTCTGTCACCACATTCTTTAATTTATACAAGTGTCTCTAAATTTATGTCTTTTTGAGGATTGTTCCATGTCTAAGGTGCAGAGTAGGAGAATGCAGTTTTCACAGATCTGTTAAAACCTGGGTACGTTAAAAAAACAACCACCTGGAGGAGTGTAGCTGATAACTACCTGAACTGACACACAGAAGGGTGCAGAGGTATGCAGGAACTTTGCCCAATATTGCTTTATAGATAAATACCAGTGCTGTTGTCTGCGAATGGTCAATGAAGTCCAACCCACCAACTAATAAAGAATGCAGTGATGAGTCAGTGACTTTGTATTTGTGATAAAACGTAAAGCTGCATGGTACTGGATCAAGCTAGGTAAAATGGAGGAGGTTGCATGCATATACAACATGTCACCATAATCAATCACAGGCAGAAAAGTACACTTTTATTTGTGTAGAAGAGCTTTTATCGTCTCTCAGCTCAACACATCTGTCTTGTGATCCTTTGCAGAGGGCCTGACCTTCAGGATTGGGAACCTTGACTGAACTGCCAAACTGTAAAACAGTGTAACAGTATGGCAACATTTAATCACTAAGTCCGACTATCCGGAATTACCATTATAGCCTAGATATCTATAACGTCATTTTGACTAGTAGTAATGTCATTGTGACTAGTATGAATTTTAATTTAAGATAGGCCTATCTGTCACGTCATTCTGACTAGTCAAAACTGAATTACAGATATCTATGACGTCATTTTGACTAGTCAAAACTGAATTACAGATATCTATGACGTCATTCTGACTAGTCAAAACTACAGTTACAGATATCTGTAATTCAGTTTTGACTAGTAAGATTCAAACTATTTTTGCCATTCATGTGTTTGTCATGGGGTTTGCCATTATAGATATCTACAATTATATTATGACTATCTATAATTCCAGTTTGAGATATCTACAACGTCATTTTGACTAGTCATAATTCAGTTGCGGATATCTACAACGTCATTTTGACTAGTCATAATTCAGTTGCAGATATCTACAACGTCATTTTGACTAGTCATAATTCAGTTACAGATATCTACAACGTTATTTTGACTAGTCATAATTCGAATTCAAGATATCTACAACGTCATTCTGACTATCTGAAACTCAATTCAACATATCTAGAAAGGACCATGTAGATATCTTCAATTGATGATAATTAAAGATATCTTGAACTTGAATTATGACTAGTCAAAATTAAATTGTAGATATCTCAAACTGGAATTACAGATATCCGCAATAACAATTGCAGATATCCGCAGCTACATTGGAGATATCTATAATGACAAACCCCATACACATGAATGGCAAAAATAGTTTGAATCTTACTAGTCAAAACTGAATTACAGATATCTGTAATTAGAGTTTTGACTAGGCAAAATCTAATTACAGATATCTTGAATAAGAGTTTTGACTAGGCAAAATTATGTTGCAGATATCAGTAATGAATATCCAGTCTAGCGATTAAATGTTAAAACGGCTTGCCATAGTAACAGTCCTGTTTCACTATAGGCCTTTTTTGTGTGTGGCTCCGCCTCCTGCATCAACTGACCCTGACCAGCTGCAGGGCTTTTTACATGGTAAAACTGCCTTTCTCATCTGACCCTGACACCAAACCTACATGTGGGAGATATTTGCTTTTTGATTGCTTGTTTTACATCTCTAACTAAGCCTTGATGCGATCTGTTATCTGAAGATCGAATACCACTTCCCACTTATCATCTTGTTTTTGCGACAAAAATAGGCATAGCAGTATTCCCTTCAATCATCCGAATTCCCAATTATACACATATTTGATCTTTTCTATAGACTTGACCCAGTTTTTGAGTAAATGCTCCGCCCCACTGAACTCAAGCCTTATTTGCAGCATTCCTCAGTTTGCAGCAGGGGCTGCACTTTTTTACGGGACCTCAGGCTAAACAGAAAACATGATGGAGATATATTTGTTTTCTGTTATTTTAGCAACTATCCTCATCACACCGTTTGCGCTTAAAACTCTGTCCCCTTATCTGTGGATGGATATTCTGTATTTTGGGGATCTCCTGCGCATTTTGGTGAAGTTTGTCTCGAGGCGAAGAAGGAGACCTTTCTTCTTTGTTTTGGACCGTTTCTTGGAGCAGACCACTGCGCATCCACACAAGCCCTTCATTGTGTTTGAAAATGAAAACTACTCGTACACTTTCACAGACAAGAGGAGCAACAAGACAGCCAACGCGCTCCAGTCTCACCCGGGATACAAAGCTGGAGACACCGTCGCACTTTTCATGGGGAATGAACCCGCCTTCATGTTTACCTGGCTGGCTTTGGCCAAATTAGGCTCTCCTGTGGCTCTCCTCAATCACAACATCCGCACAAAGTCTCTGCTGCACTGCTTTAACTGCTGCAAGGCCACAGTGTTGATTGCAGCCTCGGGTGTGTATCTGTGCACAGCAAAAGTTTACTTAAAGTTAAGGCAGATGGGCGTGCTTTTTAAGGAGCTGTTGGCTTCAGTCATGCATTCAGGTTGGATGTTACATTGTTTCTGCTCATCAGTTTGACCCCAGTCATGCCTAAAGGTTCAAGCTGTTTCTAAAAGTTGTGTCCCATGTTTGGCCCTTATGTGGCTCAAATTTTAAAATCCTTTACACCAGCAGAGCTGCACAAATAAATGAACAAATACAGGTTTAAAAATCTTGACAATCAGAATCTGGTTTATTGCCAAGTAGAGTATTGGTGCATAACAGCACATTTTTATGCTATGCTGTGCAGTTTAAAAAAAAAAAAAAAGATTATGTTTAGGGAAGTATTTCCATTACATTGGGTCAAGTGACTGGTACAGCTAATATTTCATCAAAGATTTAAAGGGACTTGGGGAATTATCCTTAATACACCCCCTGCCAGATTGATTTTACACAGTCAAATGGAGGGGAAGGGGCTTAGGCTGATTATTAAAGGTCCCACATTATGCTCATGTTCATACTTGTACTTTGGGTTTCTATTAGAACATGTTTATGTGGTTCAGTGGTGTTCATTATGTCTTTAGTTTATGATGATGACTTTAAGTTCTCTTATCTGAGACATGTTAGGATATTACATACAGTACAGGCCAAAAGTTTGGACACACCTTCTCATTCAATGCGTTTTCTTTATTTTCATGACTATTTACATTGTAGATTCTCACTGAAGGCATCAAAACTATGAATGAACACATGTGGAGTTATGTACTTAACAAAAAAAGGTGAAATAACTGAAAACATGTTTTATATTCTAGTTTCTTCAAAATAGCCACCCTTTGCTCTGATTACTGCTTTGCACACTCTTGGCATTCTCTCCATGAGCTTCAAGAGGTAGTCACCTGAAATGGTTT